TTTATTTTTATTTCTAATCACTCCCCTGGCTACCACCAGAAGTCCAGAAAGCATTGTATGTCACATTTAGTTTTACTATTGCATTGAGTAGTCTTGAGTTTACTCTTTGGAGAGAAAGGGCACACAAGGTCACTAGGGGCAAAGAGTATGGTTTCTTTCTGGGAAACATAAGCCTCAAATCATTGAAAGCTCCTGCAGTGAGCATGAATTTGGTAATGAAGATTGTCCTTCTCTCCCAATTAAGCAAATCATAGTTATCCTTAGTCCTTAATATCTTCAATTGATCTTCATGCTTTTTCCATGTACAATGCTTCTGAATTTTTGCTATCTCATAAGTTTGATTGGTACAAACTAGTACTTGGAAATCTTTTATACTTTACAACGTCATGGTATTGCCAAAAATGAAAAAAGACAGTACCAAAATGATTTCCTTCTTTTACATGACCAACAAAATTAAAGCAAATTACTAAAATGTGAGATAAAATCCACATTTCATAAAGGCTATTGGGTTATTCCCATGCAGGGCGTGGTTTTGGAAAACTGTTTGTTTCAAGAAGATGACAAATGGGTATAATTTTAGACATTTTGTAGTTGCATATTCTAACACTTTAAGTTGTAGAGTGTACCATTACTTGACAAAGTCTAATTCCTATGTTTATAGTGAAAAATAGTTTCTCTCACTTATTCACACTTAGGTTGGTAGGAAATCTTTTCCTGTAACTGAGTCCATGTATCACATTGACCATTAATGCCTGTTTTCTGCCACCCGAGGAAATGAGATTGCAGGTTTCATTCATTCTGTTGGCAGAAAGTGAAGCCAGGTTTCTAAGAGAATTGAATGATCCTGCTCTTGTCGCTGTGGCTGTCCTCTCTCTCACATTCTCTCCCCATTCAATCAGTTTTGGCAACATTCCCATTCTGAAAGGTGCAATGACGAAGGAACGCTCCAGGGCAAGTCCCTTTCACATGCGACCTTCCTGTCACCTTTGTTCTCATCTTACCTCACTTGTCAGTGCCCCTGTCTGACTCTGCTCCGCCTCTCTGCCATAGCTTACAGTAAAATGACTTATCCCCAGGTCCTTTGAGGGTATACCACTTTCCCACCCTCCCCCTAAAATAAGGGGTTCTTCTCCTGAAATATACCACTGTGATAAATAAAGAGATACAAATATGCAGAGGAAATGTAATTACAAAAGGGAAAGAAAAGAGAGATGTTAAAAGTTGAAAATCTCAATTCAGAAATCTAGTGGGAGTTGATCGCTCAAGATACCCTAATGAGAAATTAATGAACTGCTATCCAGCAAAATACAGGATGAACTCAAGACAAAGAAGAGAATATGAGCAGTAAAGACTCCAGTGTATTCAGCGTCACATTAAGAAAAGGAAATGACCCATGCTAATAAAAGAAACAAGCAACATAAAGACAGAAATGAATAGAGCCACAAGTAAAGACTTTCTTTTCCAATGTAATGAGGCAGTTGATACTAAAATAGAACAGTAGGTTAGAAGAAATGAAGCAGAATAAATTAATAAATCTTAAAATAGACTCTGATTCAAATTCTGAGTAGAAACATGCATTCATTCTTTGAACAAATGTTTATTGAGCACCTATCATGCTGTTCCAGGCGCTGTTCTAGGTGCTGACAGACAGCAGTGAGCAAGAGTGAAGAGGCCCCTGTCCTTGTAGAAGATATAGTCTAATGCAGAGAAATAGTTTTAAAAAATCAAATGTTCATAAATCCAAAATTCTAATAAATACAATGGCAATAATTAGAATAGGTGATGTAACAGAAAGTGACTGGGTGGCTACTTTGGCAGGGATGGTCAAAACTCTCTGAGGAGGTAGGTTTTAATGTGAGATTTGAAACAACATCATAAACATTGGTATATAAGGCAAAGGGCCCAAGACCAGAACAAACTTACACTGCTTGAAGAATGTAAACATGACCAACTTCTGAATCTAAAGGTGATCTAAAACCATCTATTACTAGTCTATCTTCGTGTCTTTGTATATCAAACAGTTAGTAGGACATCATATTCATCACCTTTTGTCAAAGTAGATGTCAGCTGAGGAGCAGGATAATAGCAAATGACAACAGCTTCCACTGGTTGTATACCTTCTACTTGTCAGCTGCTTTTTACACATTATTTCACCTTATCTCTTAAGCATCATTTCCTCCATTTTACAGATGAAGAACCTGGGGCTAAAAGGGCTAATTTGCCCAAGGTACCACAACACATTGCTCCCACTGCAAAGTTTATGAGTGTCCCTCTATACCAGGCCACTTCCCATTAAGCTACATTGGAGAAGGGCAAGAAAACATATCAAATGGAATAAAGAATAGTATCATGATTGGTTAAGTTTTATCCACAGATTTGGCTTATTTAATGATTAGTGTGCATACCTCAAAATATCATGTTTAATGGCTAAAATCCATTGTATTTAATTTTACCAAAACAGCACTAAGTTCAGAGAGTTACTTTTAAGATGGGGGGGGGAGTTAATTCCATAGGTCATTTAATGATTTATAAAATATTTTACTTGGGGTAAAGAAGTCTAATTCTAACTAAAAATTATTATATTTAATAAAGTAAAATAAAAGAAAATGCAGCATTCATGTGAACCAAAAGGAACATGATTTAGCTTTAGATACCCATTATGAGAAAGTTGAACTTAAGTAATTGTACAGTA